AGATTTCTGAAAAGATCACTAAGTAAGTGGCCACAGTACTGGCTCACCTGAAGGCTGTGTCTTCTCCCTTTTACCTTTTAGCACCGACAGCTGCAGAAGCTGTGAGGAGGGCAGCTACTTTATCAGATTCTCAGATGATACTGCTCTGCTGTCTCTGCTTCAGGGTTCAGGACAGGACCACAGCTCTGCTCTTCACAGTTTAGTGAAGTGGTGAGATGACAATATTTCAGACTTGATTTGTTGAATTTAGACACATCAGAAATAACATCAGCAACAGTGAGCTGCTGCCTTAAATTACCCTCTCAAAGATAAATAAAGTTATATTGACTGATGGACTGATAACACGTGTAAATAAATATTACAATATGAATTTAATTTCAATGTTGACTACACATCAATATCCTTTTAATCCACTGTTCTTTCCATTCTTACATTAAACCCTGTCTGTGTTTGTCAGAAAATCTATCAGCATCTCAGACATCTGTTCATTCACACCAACAAAAAATTACTTTGTATGCCATTAATATCCTATTATACATTACAAAACTATCATCTTCCCTTCTTTAATTATTCATCTGATTTTACAAATAATCCATAAAACACTTGTGAATTAAATGGAACTACAATGACAGTAACGTCTGTTAATTTTACAATAACAGAAATGAAACGACTGATTCGATGAGCTGGTCTTTATTGTGATGAAAAAATTGAAATTACAAACAGAAAAACATCATCGATGACACACATATTTATAGAGTGAGTGAGGAAGACAGAGAGAGACAGAGTTGCAGAGTGCAGACTGAGAGCAGAGTAAAACCAGTATCAGAGTCCCAGTGAGTCAGGTCAGAACTGGGAACACTGGTCTCTCCTCAGTGTCTCTGAGAGCGGAGTCTGGGAGCCCTGGGTGGCCTCACAGGTCACAGAGCCCACCTTCCTCCAGTGGTCTGCAGAGAGCCTCAGGGTGCTGCTCCAGCTGTAGTGGCCGTCCTTCAGCACCCCGGGGCTCCTGCTCTCCTCCCAGCTGATGCTGCTGCTGCTGCCGTCCACCTTCCAGGACAGACTCCAGTCTGAGGGGAAGCCCTTGTTGGCCAGACACATGAGCGTGGCCTTCCCCTGCTGCAGCTCCTCACTGGAGGGGGCAGCACCGTCAGGGTGGGACGGACATCACCTAGGAGACACCAATCAGCTTAGAGGACAGGGACCACACAGCTGTCAATCAAGCAGCAGACACTTGGACACCTTTACTGTGTGAGAGTTGATTTTCTCCTTTAAGGAGTTTCTGTCAGATGGTTTTTCTGCTCCACCAGTCACTCACTCACACATTGTTTCACTTCCCTTTAAGAAGCCTCTCATGCATATCAGCACAGAGAGAATCATCATACAGAATGAGCTGAAATATATCAAACTACACTGGAAATAAAATATCAAAAACTGTATCATCAAAATCATCCAAAACCTGAACTATACATTACTTTAAAGTATTTAGTGGAAACATGAACAAACACAGAAAATGAACTGACTACAATCAAATGTTCTTCATGTGGATTTCAATCATTATAGCCAAACTCTTCAACAGATTTTAAACTTGAAGCAATCTATGACGAAATGAAGAGATTTTGAAGATTTTCAAATTATAAGCTTTATCTTCACTCTGTACGATTTTATTTTAATAACTCAATCTCAACTAATTCAAAAACAGCTATTACAAATGTGGAAAAATAAAAGCAAATCTTTAAAGACATTCATAAAACAGTTTGCAGTTTTATCTTTTCTACACTTTGGGCTGTTTGAATTTCAGTTTAACAGGAATGTTTAAAGAGATGTTTAGAAAAGCTGCTCTGAATTAGCCTCGATCATAAATGAGGAGAAATACGTAAATAAATCCATATTGAAATTAAAACAAGATATATTTATCAGCCTCAAGCAACCTAAAACTGAATATAAAACATTACTTTACAATATTGTATTTAGTACTTGTGTAGAAACTTACTACCAACATCCAGTCTGGTTCCTCCACCAAAAGTCCACCACAGTGATACAAACTCATTGAGCCGCCGTACAAAAACCTCTCACTGTAGAGAGACACGGCTCTCTGACTTTGACACAAACAAACTCAACAAAATTATTCTTTTTGTAAAACCTTGTCATGTGACAAGATAACAATCACCAGAAACTTCCAAGATGTATTTATATATTTGTAACATAAGATAAGAAAAGATAAGATGTACCTTTATTGATCCCCTGTAGAAGAAATTCAAATTAGACACAGCAGCATAGGCCAATGTAGTGCAACGAGTACAGAAGTTTAATTAGAATCGCAAAATAGGAATTTTACAAAAAATAGCAGAAAATATAGACTATAATTGAAAAGCATATACACTATATGCAATATGCAAGTAAAATGGTGGGGTGGACATATGGAAAGGGGTCCGGGGAGTGAGGAAGTAGAGGGGGGTTGAGGGGGAAAAGGGCTGTCGTCTGGGTAAAGAAGGGAGAGACGGGCTGTGGAGGAGGGTGGGGTAACCAAGGTGTGAATGAGGGTACCTGAGGAGGTGGAGGGCGTTTGTGAATCAAACATGTTGAAATACAGGTTTAACTCGTTGGCACATCCCTTTGTCCCCTCTACTGAACCTACTGACCTTTTCATGCCAGTAATGCTCCTCACCCCCCTGTAACAGTCCATCAAGGCCTCCTCTGCCTCCACCGACAACTGCTGCACAGTGCTGGTGGTGATGGACTGTCTCCTATATAAAATACATGTTTCTAATTAAATTTGAAATGTAAAGAAAATATATGCATTAGAATAGAACCAAAATTATATGAACTAGTTGTTGTATGTTTCCGATTCAGCAATCCATTAAAGTGATTGATCCATTGATAAACAGCATCATGAGAGGAATCCAAGTCCCTGTTGGAGTCAGTCAGAGCATTTCCATAGAGAGCCACTTTGCATCAGCAGCACCATGCTCCAGTGCTCTGGGAGAGTTTATAGTCCTGAGAGTTGAACACTGGATGACTGACAGCTGTCCTTCATGACAACAGAAGACACAGAAATCCTCCTCATCAAAAACATGACTTTGATCTCCGTCCTCATCTGGACTCTCCTCTGCTGCTGCTTCACAGGTAAAGTCCAGAGAATCAAACTCCTCTCCTCTATGAACATCCGTCCCTCTGAAATGAAGCCCACAAAACCATGACGCTGCTTTATGTTTTTGTCTCTGTATCCTCAGAGTCCAGAGGCCAGGTCACAGTGACTCAGTCTGGAGCAGTGAGCTCTGCTCTGGGAGGCTCCGTCTCCATCACATGTAGGACCAGTCAGAATGTAAATGGGAACTACCTTTCCTGGTACCAACAGAGAGATGGAGAAACTCCTAAACTGCTCATTTATGCTGCTAGCACTCGAGCATCAGGGATTCCAGGTCGTTTTACAGGCAGTGGATCAAACTCTGACTTCACTCTGACCATCAGTGGAGTCCAGACTGAAGATGCAGCAGTTTACTACTGTATGGGTGAATTCTACGCCAACAGCCAGTATTCGTTCCCACAGTGAAAAAGCATCGTACAAAAACCTCCCTCAGTCAGACTGAACAGAAACTGAACTGACTGCTGCAGCTGGAAGCTACTGCAGAGACTGATACACTTCACTGAGGACACACACACACACACACACACACACACACACACACACAAACACACACACACACACTTCACAATTTTTGCTTAAACAACCATTTAACATGTATCAACACAGTAAAAGATAATCTTGTTGGAAATCCATTTTACTTTCTCTATCACAGCTTCTAACCATCCATTTATATCCTATTATAGTTATATAATCTTATGTATTGTTCAGTTAATAGAATGGTGCTAACGTGAGACAGTTAATGAGCAGATGAAAATGTCACAATATAAGGGCCTGATGAAAAGCAGGAATGGCAACATAAGAGCAATCCAGAAGTACACAATGCAGAGCATGCAGCTCTTGTGGTGTGTATACAGTCTGTGTATCGCTGCTACGTAGCATAAAACATTTATTAAACTTGTACTTAAGTGACAGCATGACCCTCTGTGTTCCTAAAGAGATATTGCAAATAAGAAGAAGATATGAATACAAACACACACAGAGGTATAAATCAGATTGTACTGACAGAGCTATCAGATGTGCTGTGTGCATAATCCTTACATTTCTTTATTAAAATGATCACCTGTATTAAATAGTTCAGATTTGACTCAGGGACAAACACTGTCAGTGTAAATTCAATGATCTACTGTGATTATTAAGATAGGAACACACGTGTCCAGGTCAGCCTCGCTCAAATGAAATGATGTTACCCCATACGTCTCAGAGTCTCGTTGAGCTAAGGAAGCTCTTTAAATACTAATTCTAATACAAAAGGGATTATAGTTCGCCCTGTTTGTGTTGTTGGATGTTGTTTAACCTCTTTCTCACACACACAAAGTATGGGGGGGGGGGGCACAAGTTATCTCCCATGGTGGCTAATACTTTGTGGTTTGCTTGATCTTATGTTGACAATACTAAAACATTTTGTTTCTAATCCTTAAAACACTATTTATTATTTGATGTTTTTCTATACAACCTTTTAATATGATTTAATATAAATGACCTATTTTCATTCTTCAGTCACACCTCGTTTCTACCTGCATGATGTAATCCCAGAATGTATTAAATATCACCAACAATGAGAAAATCTTCATGTGACATGGGTTATAATCCTGCACTGTGAAAATATGAAAATATTGTTGGTAGAAAGATCCATGTAAAAACATTTGATCGAAAGAATAAAATATCTTTATTGTCTTACAGCATTATTGGAACAATGAAAATGTCACAATCTGAAGTTCAATGATGTTAAATTGGTGTGATGACAAAAAGGAGATTTAGGGCTGTAGTCACAGTGAGTCCATTCAATACTGAGAACATGGTCTCTCATACATTTCCATAGAGAGCCACTTTGCATCAGCAGCACCATGCTCCAGTGCTCTGGGAGAGTTTATAGTCCTGAGAGTTGAACACTGGATGACTGACAGCTGTCCTTCATGACAACAGAAGACACAGAAATCCTCCTCATCAAAAACATGACTTTGATCTCCGTCCTCATCTGGACTCTCCTCTGCTGCTGCTTCACAGGTAAAGTCCAGAGAATCAAACTCCTCTCCTCTATGAACATCCGTCCCTCTGAAATGAAGCCCACAAAACCATGACGCTGCTTTATGTTTTTGTCTCTGTATCCTCAGAGTCCAGAGGCCAGGTCACAGTGACTCAGTCTGGAGCAGTGAGCTCTGCTCTGGGACGCTCCGTCACCATCACATGTAGGACCAGTCAGAATGTTTATACTTATGGGGGCAACCACTATTTAGCCTGGTACCAACAGAGAGATGGAGAAACTCCTAAACTGCTCATTTATGCTGCTAGCACCCAAGCATCAGGGATTCCAGGTCGTTTTACAGGCAGTGGATCAAACTCTGACTTCACTCTGACCATCAGTGGAGTCCAGACTGAAGATGCAGCAGTTTACTACTGTCAGAGTTTTCATTCTCTCAGTCAGAATGTGTTCACACTGTGAAAAAGCGTCGTACAAAAACCTCCCTCAGTCAGACTGAACAGAAACTGAACTGACTGCTGCAGCTGGAAGCTACTGCAGAGACTGATACACTTCACTGAGGACACACACACACACACACACACACACACACACACACACACACACACATACTACCAGTGAACATGTATTAAAACAAGTTCAGTGACAAAAAATAATCTTGCAGCAAATCAAATAACGTTCTCCCTCACTGTTTCTCATTATAATCCTATGTTCTTATCTGATTTGTAAAATTATCAAGAGAAGCCAATGAGAAAGTTAATGAAAGCTGTCTTGGTCATGACCTTTGAACTTTACTTAATCCTGGATCACAACACAAACATAAATAACTAAATGAATATGTAACTTTTAAACAAATAACAATAAACAGTTTAAAAACTGTGCATCTGAGTAAAGACAATGATGTGCTCATGTCTGTAAGGGTTGAGGGCCTTGTATTATGTTACTATGCCATAACTGCACTAGAGTGCATGGTGACCCCTGCTGGTCAGAGGTCACATAGCAGTTGCTTATAATGCATGCATTATATTTTTCTATTTTACTTTGTGCAGAATGCAGAAACATTCATTCATATTTTATTGTTGGATTCATCTTTATTTTATTGATCTACTTTACTTTACTTGTATCTCCTCATTCTGGAGCTATACGCTGAAGAATTTCACTGTTTGTTGTATTGTGTATGTTTATGTATGTGACAATAAAACTTGATCTCATTTGTGAGTGGGATTCAAACACAGTCAGAGTTTGATGTCAACTCTTTCAACTGGCAGGTTAATATCACTGATAATACAGCTGTTGTTTTTTTAACTTTAAATTATTTTCTCAGGGTTTTGTGAGATTCTTCTTCTGATAAATCTAATAAACATGTCCAGTGTTGAGCTGAAACACTAAATTCATACTCAATTACTTTTCTGATCCTGATCACTTCATTAAGTATACTAAGTGTCTTTTTCAATTTAACAAATTCAAAGAATTTAATCATTTTTTTTATTTTGCTGTTGGGCTTGAGGATTTGCAAATCACTAAATATGAATGTTTTTAAAATTAAAGCAAATGATTCCCTCTGTGTCATATCCATTTATACTACTGTTGTTCAGACCGTCTTATATTTATCCAAAGGTCATTTTACACACATCCTGTGTAATTTCCCACATTAATCCATCCTGCATTATTATACCATTCGGGGAGAGTGGGGTAAGATGAGCCATTTTTCATATTTAGGATCACTACATCAAGGCAATCATAGTTTTGTTGCTAACTAATATATCTGCATATATTTTAGGATGTTGTGAATCCCTTCAAACAAACAGAATGAGTGTAAACATAACTGTTTGGATAATATAGCATGTCCAAAAAAAGTGGTCTTGTGGCTCAACTTACCCCGTGTATGGGGTAAGTTGAGCATAGGAGCGGGGTCAGTTGAGCCGTGTCCCTACTCCTCCCCGCACCCTCCTCCCCACCTCCACCCCACCCCTCCCTCATCTTCTCCCTCCCTAAATAACACTCACTTCTTCCCATTCATGTGTATTTTATTTATTTGTAACAGGTACAATAACTTTTTTTTATTATTATTGCATATTACTGCTAAACAGCTGTTTTGTGAAAAAACATTTTAACATGAGAATGCCTTAAAGTGCGCTTCGGAAGAAAACATTAACAGCTGTGTTTTTGGAATATACACAGAATATGTTTTTGGATACACTTATTGAGTGTATTTTGGCTGTAGCCACCGGCTCAACTTACCCCTGGCCAAATGGCTCAACTTACCCCAGAGCTACCATTTTGACTTTATTAGTCCCCACAGCTAAAATGGTGCTCTTTTATGCTAGGTTTATGAGCTCATGTTGTAGCTCATAGATACCACAATTGATGTATAAAACACATTTAAAATGATCTTCTTTGGTCTAAACACAATTCTCATGAAACTTATGATAGACTCAATTCACTTTCAAGAGTGAAAAATGATTTTTTGGAAATAAATATCTAACCACTTTACCCATGTGGTTCTTACATTCACAGACTCCATGAAATGAAGCCTTCCTCCTAAATATTTGGTCACATGATCAATGTTTTTTACCATTTCATGGCAAACAAGGGGTGGCTCAACTTACCCTTTGGCTCAACTTACCCCACTCTCCCCTATGTCAGAATTGTTCAATAAAATGACCACAGCCAAATACAAAATATCCCTCATTGTGCTTTAATATTAATTCAATTATTGTAGATGTACAATAGAATGAGACTTCTGTTTAAATAATAATATTCTTCCCCTGCTGCAGCTCCTCACTGGAGGGGGGCAGCACCGTCAGGGTGGGGACGACTCGACCCACTGCAGAGAGAGAGAGAGAGAGAGAGAGAGAGAGAGAGAGAGAGGGAGGGAGAGAGAGAGAGAGGGAGAGAGAGAGAGAGAGAGAGAGAGGGAGGGAGGGAGAGATTTTAGTTGAAAATGATCTTAAATGTTTCACTTCCCTCTCTGAACTCTGTCGCCAAGACAACAGACAGGCATCACTGCTGAACCATGGCAACAGACAGGTTTCAGTACTAAAGATAAAATGTTACAGTGGCACATTGTTCCTCTGATGTATTAATGTTTAATCTGCAAATTCATTTAAAAACAAAGTTTGTAGGTTTAAAGCAAAAAATATATTACCGAGCATGAAAAATGGCAGGTTTTTATTGTTTTCCAAAAAGAAAAGGAAATTCCTCGATGGTGTGTGCTTGCTTTTTACATTCAAATTGAACATTGTTAACTACTGAGTTATGTATTCAAACTCATTAAATCAAACCTACTCACAGTTAAATATATGTTTTAATAGTGATGTTTTAAGATTATTGTGACATATAATGTGTGAAATATTTAAATCTTCTAGAAATATCAAGTAAAACCGCTGAACAATTGTTGGTCCTGTATTTGGAGTGAAATATTTAAACTTTTAAGAATATTTTCGTAAGACAAAATACTTTTTGGTAAACTTTATATGTAGAAACTGTTAGAAAAATCCATTACAGTGACATGAAATATATTAACCCAAAGCAAAGCCTCATACAAATGAGCACTGACACATTCCTAATCAATACTCTGATAAAGTGATTGATCCATTGATAAACAGCATCATGAGAGGAATCCAAGTCCCTGTTGGAGTCAGTCAGAGCATTTCCATAGAGAGCCACTTTGCATCAGCAGCACCATGCTCCAGTGCTCTGGGAGAGTTTATAGTCCTGAGAGTTGAACACTGGATGACTGACAGCTGTCCTTCATGACAACAGAAGACACAGAAATCCTCCTCATCAAAAACATGACTTTGATCTCCGTCCTCATCTGGACTCTCCTCTGCTGCTGCTTCACAGGTAAAGTCCAGAGAATCAAACTCCCTCTCCTCTATGAACATCCGTCCCTCTGAAATGAAGCCCACAAAACCATGACGCTGCTTTATGTTTTTGTCTCTGTATCCTCAGAGTCCAGAGGCCAGGTCACAGTGACTCAGTCTGGAGCAGTGAGCTCTGCTCTGGGACGCTCCGTCACCATCACGTGTAGGACCACTCCTAAGGTTTATACTAGTGGGGGCACCCACTATTTAGCCTGGTACCAACAGAGAGATGGAGAAACTCCTAAACTGCTTATCGATAGGGCAACAAATCGAGCATCAGGGATTCCAGGTCGTTTTACAGGCAGTGGATCAAACTCTGACTTCACTCTGACCATCAGTGGTGTCCAGACTGAAGATGCAGCAGTTTACTACTGTCAGAGTTATCACTATATCAACAGTCAAGATGTGTTCACACAGTGAAAAAGCGTCGTACAAAAACCTCCCTCAGTCAGACTGAACAGAAACTGAACTGACTGCTGCAGCTGGAAGCTACTGCAGGAGACTGATACACTTCACTGAGGACACACACACACACACACACACACACACACACACACACACACACACACACACAATAAACATTTATTAAAATTGACAAAAGAATAATCTCACAGTAAATCGAATTACATTCTCCATCACAGCTTCTTTCAAAATCCCATGTTCCCAGGGAGAATGAATGAGAAAATTCTTGACTTTGACCTTTGACCTCTGCTATATACTGGATTACAGATTCTTCAACTTCATCTTGTCATTAAATAATAAAAAGACACCAATCAGAAATCTTCATGACCAAAGATTGACCAAACAAACCCGTAGGCCTACATCCCCATTTCACTCAGTATTGATTGAATAGACTTTTGTTGATTAAAGAAAATCTCATTATGACTGGAATCCTAACATTAGAATACCTCTATGATATAATTATATCTGCATACAGTATATTTCAATATAATTATCTTTAACTGCATAAAACATGCAAAAATACATTTTCTCTAACATGCAACACAAAAACACTGTATAAAGGTGAATTCTTTACCTTGAAAACAATTTTAAAAAATATTTGTGGAACATCCATCCACTAACTGGAACTGTAAATCATATCACATGATCTTCTTCAGCGGATGGAGTCTCCCGGTTGTCATTCAATTGTAGTTGTTCGAATTCCCATTTCTGTGAGCATTTTTAGAACTTCTTGTACATGTTGGCTTCTATTCCATCACAACTGGGTGAACTCCATCTGCTGAGGAAGACCATGTAGTTAAATCACCAGCTCCAAAACAGCTACTGAGAAATGATTTTGATTGTTACGCATAAACTATCAGTTGCAACTTTTCAGTCAACATCTACCAGAAATCCTTAAAGTGCAACATAAAGACCTTCAGAATACTCACATTACTGCTCACAGCTGTAACTACAAGATGTTTCAATATCCTCTACAGGTAAATATGTAAATATGTAGGACAATGCTCTCACCACTGAGGGGGAAACACCATGATATGTTGAGGACAGCTACAGTTCACTGACTCTGTGTGTTTGCATATGTGTCCTTCCTCTCTGCTCCCAGCCGTTAAGAGGCCAGTGTTGATCAGTGGCTGTCCAGGCCTTTCAGAGCCACTGACACGCCGGCAGCACAATGAGGATGTCACTGACTCTACTGCTGGCCACCCTGGGGCTCCTTGTTCAGGGTGAGACTCTCTTCTGAAAACTTTGCTTCAGGATGCAACCAGGTTCACCACAATGATGTTCTGCTATGATGGAGAAACACTGAAACAAGCAGCATTTACCTTCTTCCATCTATTCTCCATGTTAAAGAAATGATACTCTTCTGTTTGGATGTTGATCATCTTTCTCCAAACTGGATTTGTCTCAATAACCCTTCTCCTCTTTTTCATGTTTTCCAGATTCATCAGGAGAAATCATCCTGACTCAGTCTCCTAAAGCTCAGTCTGTTGTTCCAGGACAGACTGTCTCTGTCAGATGTAAAGCCAGTTCAAGTGCTGGTACTTGTCTTAACTGGTACCTTCAGAAACCTGGAGAATCGCCCAAACTCTTGATTTATTATTCTACAAACCGTCAGTCTGGAGTTTCAGGTCGTTTTAGTGGAAGTGGATCTGGAACTGACTTCACTCTGACCATCAGCGGAGTTCAGACTGAAGATGCAGGAGATTATTACTGTCAGCACTGTAACAGCTGGCCGTTCACACAGTGATATAACGTCGTACAAAAACCTCCCTCAGCTGAAGAGGAACTGATCTCAATCAACAGCTGCATGGAAACTAAACAGCAACAAGATACAACTAAAACACACCTCATAATTACATGTAGTTCTAATAATGCGGCATTTAAAATAATCAATCACATTTTCATTTTTTTTTCGCACGTTATTTTTTTTTAGGCAAAGATGAATGTTTTAACCTTTGAGTTTGAGTCAACTGATGTCAAGTCTCTCATCAGACAGGTTTATACAGATATGTTAGTTACTGTAATTATATCTAGAGTTAATAATATTATAAAATTAATATTTTCCCACAATGCATTGTACATCTACAGTAGCTGAACACAGTTTACAGAGTAATAAACTCTCTTTATATATGTGTAGCACCCCAACACTCAGTAAATGCCTATGTTAAAGGAACTCACCTTGGACTTGAATGATGGGGTGTTTGGGTTCGATTCATTAAGGTAGCTACCACGAAGGTTTACCTGTTTTGTGTGCAACTTTTTATAGCCTAATACTTTATGAATAACCAACAACACTGTTAGACTAAGCAGTGGCTCTATTCACACATACTGTACACTATTTTAAATAACTGACCCCAGACAACTCTTTCAAATAAATAAAATAATATTTTACTAACCAGTGGTTTGCAGTGTAACACAAATAATATTTACTTTGTTAGTTAAGAAGAAACAAAAATGAAATAACACAATTACCCAAATTAGACTTCTTTAAAATAAAAATATTATAGTTGAAATACTAAATTGTAAACGAAATACCCTTTACCAAAATTGGCAAAACACTGTAGAAAATCAGACACTTGTAATAAGCAAAATAGATTTGGCAATATCAAAATACTATTCAAAACTTAAATTATCTCAGGTCTCTAACATTCCTAGTTCTTACCACTTTAATATGATTTACCTGTACTCATCAGACATCAAATGCTACTTAACTAAACTCTAAACAAAACAGTGGGCCCACACACACACACACACACACACACACACACACACACACACACACACACACACACACACACACACTGTATATAACTAATATAATGTTAATAATGTATATATCTTTCATATTGTGTATTGTCTGAATATTTCGACTTATTGTATTGTATTTTGATGCTTTTGCTTTGGCAAAAACTTTCATGCCAATAAAGCCCATTTTGAATTGAATTTGAATTGAATTGAGAGCAGTTTGGTAGTCAGCCCATGCATGTTCAGCCTGTATATTTTAGATTGCTTTTCATTCCAGTTTTGCAGGTTTGACCAAGTCTTCAGCAGATGAGGTTAAATATCTTCAATCACATGTTTGAGAGAGATTTAGCTGTCTAGATTTAACTAGAAAGAGTTTCTAACATATGTCAGCATTTTTTTATTAACATTACTATGTTGTTGTGCACATACACATTATACACAAAAAGTGTCCAGTATGGGGAAACCCAATGAAACAGCATGTGTGCACATTTTTCACTCATGCTATGTTATTTATTATTTTTAGCTATTTTTCCCAGATTGTATTAACTATCAACAATGATATGAAAATCTTATTCTGACATTGGTTATAATCCTGCACATGTGGAAATATGGAATAAGACATCTATTGTTGGTAAACAGGGATCCATGAAAAATTATTTGATCTAAAGATAGAAAATATCTTTTGATTGATGTATAGCATTAACAGCATTGGCATTATTGGGACAATGAAAATGTCATAATCTGAAGTTCAAATTTGTTAAAATGGTGGAATGATAGAAAGTGCAGATTTAAAGCTGTAGCAAGGTAAAAACAGAAGCAGAGTCCCAGTGAGTCCGGTCAGTACTGAGAACATGGTCTCTCATACATTTCCATAGAGAGCCACTTTGCATCAGCAGCACCATGCTCCAGTGCTCTGGGAGAGTTTATAGTCCTGAGAGTTGAACACTGGATGACTGACAGCTGTCCTTCATGACAACAGAAGACACAGAAATCCTCCTCATCAAAAACATGACTTTGATCTCCGTCCTCATCTGGACTCTCCTCTGCTGCTGCTTCACAGGTAAAGTCCAGAGAATCAAACTCCTCTCCTCTATGAACATCCGTCCCTCTGAAATGAAGCCCACAAAACCATGACGCTGCTTTATGTTTTTGTCTCTGTATCCTCAGAGTCCAGAGGCCAGGTCACAGTGACTCAGTCTGGAGCAGTGAGCTCTGCTCTGGGACGCTCCGTCACCATCACATGCAGGACCAGTCAGAACGTTTATAATAATGACTTTTTAGCCTGGTACCAACAGAAAGATGGAGAAACTCCTAAACTGCTTATCTATAGAGCAACTTCTCGACAATCAGGGACTCCAGGTCGTTTTACAGGCAGTGGATCAAACTCTGACTTCACTCTGACCATCAGTGGAGTCCAGACTGAAGATGCAGCAGTTTACTACTGTCAGAGTTATCATAGCATCAACAGTCAGTGGTTGTTCACACAGTGAAAAAGCGTCGTACAAAAACCTCCCTCAGTCAGACTGAACAGAAACTGAACTGACTGCTGCAGCTGGAAGCTACTGCAGAGACTGATACACTTCACTGAGGACACACACACACACACACACACACACAAAATGGAATTATCATTAAAAAAAGAAATTACAAATAATTTTTCGTCCTACACAAACAGTTTCCTTATAAAGAACTAATGGACAGTTAAAGACCACATTAGGATATGATCACATTTTTGTCATAACTAACAAACACATTTTACTCATTAAAGAGACAATGAACCAGACTGTGACTGTTAGTGAGATATGGCTCTGTGTGGCTCATGACGGACCTCAATAAGTAGTACTTTACACTGTAACTGATTATTAAGATGGTAACAGTGGGGTAATATGTTTCAGTAACAAGACTCAACAGGTCATAATGTGGTTATTACAGATGTAACAACAGCTCATGGGGCAGGGGGACAGTGGGAATTGGGAGAGGGACAGAAAAAGTAAATTGTTTAGCAGACATGGTATGTATATTTCATTATTTATCATAATTAGATCATTTAATATATCAATTATATTGTTTATGATAGATTATCAGTGTGTTTTCTTGCCTGATTCACTCACAGAAACAACAGAAAATTACCCAAACTATTACCACACATCCCATGACAGCCACGGAGGGGCCCACACAAAGCATAGCCTCGGGGCCCATGACCGACTTAATCCACCACAGGTAACAGCATAATAAAGACACAAAGACAGATAGATAGATAGATAGATAGATAGATAGATAGATAGATAGATAGATAGATAGATAGATACTTTATTTATCCAGAGGGAAATTCAAGTAACCAGTAGCATACAAAATACAAAACATACATTAAACATACATTAGAGTAAAATTAAAATCCCTAACCTTAAGAATAGAATCAACAATAAAATATATATATATATATATATATATATATATATATATATATATATGTATAATATATATAAAATTAACAGTAGCTACAGTAAACATTGCAAACAGTAAACAGTGCAAATGGATGTGCAAATACAGGTAGAAATTGTCCATTGTCTATTATCTATTGTCTATTGTCTATTTTGTCCTCCCCGCCTTTACTGAGAGCTGTTGTACAGTCTGATGGGGGACGAAAGAGTTTTTGAGTCTGTTGGTGGAGCTGGACTGGGACAGCAGTCTGCCACTGAACACAATCCTCTGCCTGGTGAAGGTGTCGTGCAGAGGCTGGTGGGCGTTGTCCAGTTTGTCCAGGGTCCTTCTCTGCCACTGTCACCAGAGAGTCCAGCTCTGTGCCCACTACTGAGCCAGCTCTCCTTACAAGTAAATGGTAAATGGACCTGTACTTGTATAGCGCCTTTCTAGTCTTCTGACCACTCAAAGCGCTTTTACACCCTTTCACACACATTCACTCAGTGATGGCAAAGTCCATTGAACAGAAACTAACATTCATACACATTCACACACCGATGCACGGCATCGGGAGCAATTCGGGGTTCAGTATCTTGCTCAAGGATACTTCGACATGTGGCACCAGGAGCCGGGGATCGAACCCACAACCTTCCGATTAAGGAACGACCCGCTCTGCCTCTGAGCCACAGCCGCCCAAGTCTGTCCAGTCGACCGGCGTCTCTCTTCTTGCTGCTTCTGTGACAAGTTGTATATAACTCCAGTAGGGGGATCGCGCTCCTCTTCCTCATTCAATACAGACGAGTGAAGGAAAGAGCTGCGTGTGTGTTTTCCTCATCCTTCTCCCGTTACTATTCCCCTTTTTAAGGTAATTACCGTTTGCAAAGCACTGTATACTTATGAACACATGTTGATAGCATTTTTCTTTATGTTTCTCTGTTACTGTGAATGCATGGAAGAGACCTTTTTGTTGGACTTATTTTTGGTTTAGTTACTTGCTAACTCAGACGTGTAAGCTAGCAGTCGGATACCTCGTGGCCACGCCGTAGAGTCTGAATGTTGACATTGGTGTTTAAGTGTGTTACTGTTATATATATTTATATATTTGTGTCTAGTTCATGTCATAATGATGAGAATTGATGAGTCAACATGTTAAAAATACATTTCATTATTCAAAAGTTCCATGATAATTTAGCTTGTTAAAAACATAATTTACATGTTGTGTGTATTTGGTTAAAACAATAATTTAGATAATTTAGAACATGTTAAAAAGACACATATGATATTTGTGGTCCTAAAACTGAGTGTGCATATGTATACATTTGTCTGTTGTTCGTATGCATTGTTTAAAATAAGATTCAATACAGACGAGTGAAGGAAAGAGCTGTGTGTGTGTTTTCCTCATCCTTCTCCCGTTACTATTCCCCTTTTTAAGGGTACAACACTTCCTCCCCAGCAAACCACAGCATAAAAGAACACGCTGGCCACCACAGACTGGTAAAACATCTGCAGCAGTTTTTTGCAGATGTTGAAGGACCCCAGCCTTCTCAGGAAGTACAGACGGCTCTGCCCTTTCCTGTGTAAAGCGTCCATATTTGCTGTCAAGTCCAGCTTGTTATCCAGCTGCAGCTCAATATATTTATGGGTCCTGACCACCTCCACATCGACCCCCTCAATGGACACGGGTTGGAGATGTGGTTTCTTCCTTCTGAAATCCACCACCATCTCCTTGGTCTTGGAGGTGTTCAGCTGCAGATGGTTGGACCTCCACCACCTCACAAAGTCCTTGACCAGGCTCCTGTACTTCCCCTCCCGTCCATCCTTGATACAGCCAACTATCGCAGTATTGTCCGAGTATTTCTGCATGTGGCAGAGCCCGGAGTTGTACTGGGAGTCAGATGTGTACACGGTGAAAAGGACGGGAGAGAGCGCGGTACCCTGTGGTGCTCCGGTGCTGCGGACCACAGTGTCTGATGTGCAGCCCTTCAGTCTGACGTACTGTGGTCTCTCCGTGAGGTAGTCCGTAATCCATGTCACCAGGAGTGGGTCCACCCTCATCTCTGCCAGCTTGTCTCTCAGCAGGAGCGGCCGGATGGTGTTGAAGGCACTGGAGAAATCAAAAAACACGATTCTCACAGTGCCGCTCTCCTTGTCCAGATGAGAGCGGGCCCTATGGAGCAGATAGAGGATGGCATCCTCCACGCCCACCTTCTCCTGGTATCCAAACTGCAGTTTTGACAATTATTGGGGGGAAATCAAGGTTGTTCATTAGTTTCCTTAATGTAAAAGGCAGCAGTTATGATTTATTTATCCAGGTTTTGGAACGTCACTGAGATTTCTCAACCTCATACAAAGTAGGTGAATGAAATGTTCACAGACTGCTCTGAAGAAATACTCTCTATGAAAACTGTTCACAGAGTTAGATTGTTCCTGTATTACTGTGTTCTTTGGATCATCGATTCACCTCCATTGAGTTAAAATGCTTTATCTTTGCTGAAATCTTTACAAATGAAATTTCTTCCACCTGCATTTTATTGGGGTGGAAGCAGCAATCTCAGGATCCTGAATGAACCCTGAATGTTAAATCATATGTTCATGGAGAGATACCACTGGAGAAACCACAAGAGAAATTAATTTATATTACAGGTATTTAGGGTGAACTGACCTGCAGTGTATTTGAGGAAAAGATAAAAATGTTCTGTGAAAAGTTTTCACACACAATAATGCAACTCCCAAGTATTGATGTACATCACTATTGTAAGGTATTACTCTTATATAATCACTCATTATGGTTCTTAAGTTGAATCTATGTTTCATGAAACACTGAAGTTCTGTGTGTGCAATGAAGCAACAGCTGCACTGAGGGGGAAACACCATGATATGTTGAGGACAGCTACAGTTCACTGACTCTGTGTGTTTGCATATGTGTCCTTCCTCTCTGCTCCCAGCCGTTAAGAGGCCAGTGTTGATCAGTGGCTGTCCAGGCCTTTCAGAGCCACTGACACGCCGGCAGCACAATGATAATGTCACTGACTCTACTGCTGGCCACCCTGGGGCTCCTTGTTCAGGGTGAGACTCTCTTCTGAAAACTTTGCTTCAGGATGCAACCAGGTTCACCACAATGATGTTCTGCTATGATGGAGAAACACTGAAACAAGCAGCATTTACCTTCTTCCATCTATTCTCCATGTTAAAGAAATGATACTCTTCTGTTTGGATGTTGATCATCTTTCTCCAAACTGGATTTGTCTCAATAACCCTTCTCCTTTTCTTTTTCATGTTTTCCAGATTCATCAGGAGAAGTCATTGTGACTCAGTCTCCTAAAGCTCAGTCTGTTGTTCCAGGACAGACTGTCTCTATCAGATGTAACGTTAGTCCAAGCACTGGTTACTGCTTCAGCTGGTACCTTTAGAAACCTGGAGAATCTCCTAAACTCCTAATTACTTGTGGTTCAACCCGTCAGTCTGGAGTTTCAGATCGTTTCAGTGGGAGCGGATCTGGTAGTGATTACACTCTGACCATCAGTGGAGTCCAGACTGAAGATGCAGCAGTTTACTACTGTCAGAGTGCTCATTACATCAACAGTCAGTGGTTGTTCACACAGTGAAAAAGCGTCGTACAAAAACCTCCCTCCGCTGGAGAGGAACTGATCTCAATCAACAGCTGCACAGACATTAAAACACTACATGATGGATTAACATACATTGTTCAATTTCAACAAGAAAATATTTTTCATATTTTTCTTCAATATAATTTTTAGGAGTAATTTTTGTGCCATTCCTGATGAAAAAAAGAAGATTGCTGAAAATCAGAATGACAGCTGCATAATTTTAGCTCTTAAACATTATAGTTTGAGTAACATAAAAACATATACTCAGTGAATCTATAAAAAAACTTACAAATGTTTAGGAATGACAATATTTATATTTATATTTTTTACATTTGCTTTGAAAAAAAGTTATTTTTGTTGAAATAATTTGAGATCTCAACAGAATAAAATGAATTTGTTTCATAAATGATGTATCATTATCAACACCGTTTATGAATCTAAAACATTGCGAGTCTCTTCTTGTTGATTAAATCATGAAAAAATGATGTGACACAGCACAGTTCAGTACAGAGTAGGACACTGAGCAATATTTCTAACATCATCACCTGATATGTTAAAATCCAGCTATCTGACCCTGAGACAACTCAGTGTGTTTGGAATAAAAGGATCCACTGTTTTTCACAGCAATATATACAAATATGAATATACAGTATTTAATGATAAACGGACAAATTTGATCTGATGAATATATTTTTATTCTTTAATGGAACATCAGTATTACAGCAAGCAGTGAAAGATGACAATGTGTTAATTCTGCTGACTTTTCATGTTGAGTCCTTTGGTGAAGTTGTACTGTCTCATAGGAATATTATTGAGCTGAAAACACATTATTGTTCAAATATGTAATGAGAAAAAGAAAAAGGCAGAGAGCAGTAGCAGAGTAAAACCAGTAGCAGAGTCCCAGTGAGTCAGGTTATGACTAGGAACACTGGTCTCTCCTCAGTGTCTCTGAGAGCGGAGTCTGGGAGCCCTGGGTGGCCTCACAGGTCACAGAGCCCACCTTCCTCCAGTGGTCTGCAGAGAGCCTCAGGGTGCTGCTCCAGCTGTACTGGCCGTCCTTCAGCACCCCGGGGCTCCTGCTCTGCTCCCAGCTGCTGCTGCTGCTGCTGCTGCTGCCGTCCACCTTCCAGGACAGACTCCAGTCTGAGGGGAAGCCCTTGTTGGCCAGACACATGAGCGTGGCCTTCCCCTGCTGCAGCTCCTCACTGGAGGGGGGCAGCACCATCAGGGTGGGACGGACATCACCTAGGAGACACCAATCAGCTTAGAGGACAGGGACCACACAGCTGTCAATCAAGCAGCAGACACTTGGACACCTTTACCGTGTGAGAGTTGATTTTCTCCTTTAAGGAGTTTCTGTCAGATGGTTTTTCTGCTCCACCAGTCACTCACTCACACATTGTTTCACTTCCCTTTAAGAAGCCTCTCATGCATATCAGCACAGAGAGAATCATCATACAGAATGAGCTGAAATATATCAAACTACACTGGAAATAAAATATCAAAAACTGTATCATCAAAATCATCCAAAACCTGAACTATACATTACTTTAAAGTATTTAGTGGAAACATGAACAAACACAGAAAATGAACTGACTACAATCAAATGTTCTTCATGTGGATTTCAATCATCATTACCAAACTGTAACTTTAGAACAATATATAACACTATGAAGAGATTTTGAACATTTACTCATCTTTATCTTCACTACGTTCAATTTGACTATAATAATTTTATCTTAATTAATTTAAAAACAGTTATTTCTGACATCAAAAAGTAAAAGTGAATCTTAAAAATGAAACATTTGTACAAAAAGGTTTGCAGTTTTATCTTTTCTACACTTCAAGCTGTTTGAATTGCAGTTTGACAGGAATGTGTAAAGAACAAAGAGTTAGCCTCCATGATGAAGGAGGACAGGTACAAACATGAATACTTCAAGTGTTTAAATTAAAACAAACTATATCTGTCTGCTTCAAACATCCAAAGACTGTATATAAAACATTACTTTACAATATTGTATTTAATATTTGTGCAGAAACTTACTTCCAACTTCCAGTCTGGTTCCTCCACCAAAAGTCCACCACAGTGATACAAACTCATTGAGCCGCTGTACAAAAACCTCTCACTGTAGAGAGACACGTCTCTCTGACTTTGACACACTGAACTAAACCTACAAACCCTCAAGATGAAGCTTTACCATTAAAGTTGGAATTACTGATTCATATTCTGTATTGATATTTTAAATTGACTTCAGTGAGGTTTTGAATTTATATTCCTGATTCAAAGTTTGTCTCTGAGTGTAAAGTATTTCTGCAGAAGATATACATTAATATGAAAAATCAAGAATTCTTCCTGAAATATATATCAAAAGACAAATATGTCCTGAAATGATAAAAAAATTAAAGATTTGACTTACTTCCAACATCCAGTCTGGTTCCTCCACCAAAAGTCCACCACAGTGATACAAACTCATTGAGCCGCCGTACAAAAACCTCTCACTGTAGAGAGACACGGCTCTCTGACTTTGACACAAACAAACTCAGCAAGCGCATTCCCAGTTTACCCAGTTCATCTAATAACTGGTTAAAGTGTCTAAAAAATAAACTATGAATATATATTTAATCTTTTTTGTATGATAAAAGCTGTATTAATTCATGTTACATTGAAACGATGAAACAAGATATTTCAAAGTAAAAGTCTCCAATAAATGATGACAAATGTAAATAATGATCATAAACATATGTTTATTGTATATTATGATGAATATAAAATAAATAAAAGATAATATATTTGTTTAAATGTGTCCCACAGTGATGTTGATCTGTGTGGTAGTGAATTAGGGGGAATTCACTAAATATTCTGGAAGAAAATGTGTCCATCAAACTGAAAGCAAAGCCTCATACAAATGAGCACTGACACATTCCTAATCAATACTCTGATAAAGTGATTGATCCATTGATAAACAGCATCATGAGAGGAATCCAAGTCCCTGTTGGAGTCAGTCAGAGCATTTCCATAGAGAGCCACTTTGCATCAGCAGCACCATGCTCCAGTGCTCTGGGAGAGTTTATAGTCCTGAGAGTTGAACACTGGATGACTGACAGCTGTCCTTCATGACAACAGAAGACACAGAAATCCTGCTCATCAAAAACATGACTTTGATCTCCGTCCTCATCTGGACTCTCCTCTGCTGCTGCTTCACAGGTAAAGTCCAGAGAATCAAACTCCTCTCCTCTATGAACACCGTCCCTCTGAAATGAAGCCCACAAAACCATGACGCTGCTTTATGTTTTTGTCTCTGTATCCTCAGAGTCCAGAGGCCAGTACACAGTGACTCAGTCTGGAGCAGTGAGCTCTGCTCTGGGACGCTCCGTCACCATCACATGTAGGACCAGTCAGAATGTCTATACTTGGAGCAGCTACCATGCTTTGGCCTGGTACCAACAGAGAGATGGAGAAACTCCTAAACTGCTCATTTATGCTGCTAGCACTCGAGCATCAGGGATTCCAGGTCGTTTTACAGGCAGTGGATCAAACTCTGACTTCACTCTGACCATCAGTGGAGTCCAGACTGAAGATGCAGCAGTTTACTACTGTCAGAGTTTTCATGTTATCAACAGTCAGTATGTGTTCACACAGTGAAAAAGCGTCGTACAAAAACCTCCCTCAGTCAGACTGAACAGAAACTGAACTGACTGCTGCAGCTGGAAGCTACTGCAGAGACTGATACACTTCACTGAGGACACACACACACACACACACACACACACACACACACACACACACACACACACACACACACACACGCACACTACCAGTGAACATGTACTAAAACAAGTTCAGTGACAAAAAATTATCTTGCAGCAAATCAAATAACGTTCTCCCTCACAGTTTCTTATTATAAACACATGTTCTTATCTGGTTTGTAAAATTATCAAGAGAAGCCAATGAGAAAGTTAATGAAAGCTGTCTTGGTCATGACCTTTGAACTTTACTTAATCCTGGATCACAACTATTTCAACTACATCGAATTATCAAAGAATATAAGAAGACACACAGCAGAAATTAATACCAATAAAAGGAAATAAAAAGACACAGATCAGAAACCTTCATCATCAAAGATAGACGAAACAAAACCTTTACACCCATTACATTTCACAATGTATTAATTTAATGTGTATACTTATATTGTATAAATTAATGATCTACTAAAATCATAACAAGACAAAATGCATACATAAAACAAACATATATAGAGCGAAGTTTGCGAGCTAGTTCAGGTAGTCAACTCGAGCGGTGCTGATATACACATGACATGTTTACTACACTACTCAAATAAACACAAAATCATTGAACTGAAACCGTTTGATTTATAAAGAGAAAATGGACAATTAAACCTATTAAAATCAATAGATTTTATCCTCACAGCTTCTCACCATCTATCCCACTCACCTGGCCATTCACAAGATATAAAAGAAAATGAGATTCATCAGACCAGGCCACCTTCTTCCATTGCTGTGTGGTCCAGTTCTGATGCTCACGTGCCCATTGTAGGCACTACTTGATGCTTGGCCATTGTTCTGTGAGTTCTTTGGTTGTTTGAACTGTGTACCTTTCTAATGCAGGATGAAGCTGTTAATCAGAGAGTTAAACCTCTGTGAATATAACTTTTGTGAAAGTCCTAATTAATAATGAGTTTAGATCTTAAATAATAATCTAAACTTCAAAAATAACAATTATACAGAAACAATCATGAAGTTTTCTTCACAGAAATAAACAAAATGCTGACATATAGGCTTACTGTGCATACTTTCAAAGTTTTCTTACACACTTTAAAATTATGGACTCGCATGAAACTTTGGCGACACCTAGTGGGGTCTCAACCCCCAGGTTGAAAACCAATGCAGTAGGCCCATCCTAAGACCAAACCACCATCACTCCTCTGGTAATGGCCTCAAGGTCCCAGTAATTTTAATATCTCTGAATGAAAATGAATGCCTACTTTATTATCAGTTCAGGCTTTAATTAATAAATAATACACAATTTAAAAACAATAAATATTGAAAAAAATTGCAAATGAACATAAACATAAATAACTGAATTAATATGTAACTTTTAAACAAATAACAATAAGCAGTTTAAAAACTGTGCATCTGAGTAAAGACAATGATGTGCTCATGTCTGTAAGGGTTGAGGGCCTTGTATTATGTTACTATGCCATAACTGCACTAGAGTGCATGGTGACCCGTGCTGGTCAGAGGTCACATAACAGTTGCTTATAATGCAATTTATATTTCTATTTTACTTTGTGCAGAATGCAGAAACATTCATTCATATTTTATTGTTGCATTCATCTTTATTTTATTGATCTACTTTACTTTACTTGTATGTCCTCATTCTGGAGCTATACGCTGAAGAATTTCACTGTTTGTTGTATTGTGTATGTTTATGTATGTGACAATAAAACTTGATCTCATTTGTGAGT